ATAGTTACCACGGAAACACATCCGTTTCCCAATCACTTGTCTCTCGAAGGCCCATTCAGTTTAACTGCCAGAAAAATCATTGCAACAAAAAAAAAAGAACTCTACTTCCAGGAGTGAAATCACATGACGCCCCTTAACGTCTCGAGAATTCATAACAGATTATAATTGAGGACGTTCACGTTACATCTGTGCGTGTTTCGGCTATCCGATCTTTCCTGAGTTCTATATAGAAAGGATTAAATGAGGAATTAGATATTAAAGATTCGCGTCCGTCGTGTTTTGCTTTCCCTATAAGCTAGTATAACGCAGCTTTAATTTTGTTCGATTTATAAGCGATTTTACAGACGTAATTTGAAAATAGAGCGGTAGACTACATGTTATCAGCCCTGTCCAGACTTCGAATCCCCCTAAATGCCGAATAATTGGGGGTATACCTAGAGGAGGGCTTTAACGTCAATCTGGGCTCAGGGAACACGATGTTGATAGTCGTTAGTCGGTTGTTACGGCAGCTAACGGAAGTGACCGCTGTATGTCCCGGTCGTTTAATGGACCTTTCGGTGAAAATTAAATACAGTACGTTGGCGGGTATCGATACAAATAATTTGATCTCGACATTGCTAGACGAAATAAATGAGAGTGATGGAAACTCATTAGTCATTGTTAAGTAGACGAACTATCTATGCGCATCCTCTTTAAACGAGCACGTGGATGGTGGTACGTTCGTTTACCTAAAAAGTGCACGTAAACTTTTTTATTAGATGCGTAAGAGCGACTGCCAATAATTTTGGCCTAGCTAATCCTACAAGAATATAGCTGCGAGCCTGAATGTACATCATGGAAACATAAATATAATGAAGCGATTGATCCACATATCAGCCCTATCTTTATTTATATATATATGTAATAGTAACAAGATATTATCAAACAGGGTTGATCGTACATCATGCGTTCTCTAACCAATCTCTAAGCAATGCGCCGTATGCCTTAAATGAGGTTCGATCCCGACGTTCCATGCTGCTTACGAAGCTTTCAATTGTGATAAAAAGTACGAGGTCCACTAGGGCTGTAGCTGCTAAACAAATAACACCTATAAAATATCGTAAAAAAACGAGCTATAATGATTAAGATAGCCTTTATTAGAGACAACAGGAACCATTTGGCGCGCTATTAACAACATGTACACAAAGATCATTGATTGGAACATTTTTCAAGAGCTTATATTCCAGATTATGAGAACTCGCCGTTAAGAGTCGTTTGCAATGAAGGCCTCATATAAGATTACTTAAGAAAAAAAAAAATTAATTATTACATTTTTGAAGAAGATCAACTTTGATTGTTAGTCTGAAGATAAAATGCCTATTTTTTTTATACAGCCAGAAAAAAATACAGAACCTTAATAAATTACAATTTATTGAGAAAGCCTCTACCAAATGCATTGCGAAGGAAACCCAGGTAAAAAAGGACTTCCCGAAACCGTGAAGATTTTTTTTAATATTAACGGACATGTCACTAGCCCGTTAGGCAAATCTTAAAAGCCGGATGAAAATCTATTGATTTAAGAAACAATAAATATATTTTCAGCGTACTAATAACATTAGAGAATCGATTAAAGCCTTGCCTATACGGTCCGCGATATAAAATCAATGATGGGCTTGCTGTACAGCTTATAGGCCGCACAAGATGGTCGCATTTGGCTAGAAACGGCATGCAGAACATTGGCCGACAAAACAGGGTCGGCCCATCCGATTATAGTTCCTATGAGTTGAATCCAAAAGACTGAATCAATGCTTAGTCGGTCAATTAGCTCTACTATAGTGCTAAATTCTTTTGTTTCAAGGCCATGACGGTATCAGTCCAAAGACTATTCTGAAGGCGGCTGTATATTTTGAATCAGAGCATTTCTCAGCAAACACGAAAAAGCCTTGTGTCGGGGGTACATCTGTTCTATGCAGTCGTCCGTCCGCATTTCGCATCTTCAGCTGCAGTCAGCAGATATGGTTCGCACAAATCTGCCCTGTTGCTTAGTAGCGTGAATAGCTAGCTATGAATAACCCGCATTTAAATACTATACTACATTGGCAACACCAAAAAAACGAGGTCTTTGAGAGAAACGTTTCTTTTATTTTCGGTTCTGTCACTCCCTTCTAAACAGCTCACTTCAATTAATGTAAACATCGAAAAGTAGATGATAAAGTTTACTCGGTAGGCCATGCTTTTTTTTTTTTTGGAAATTCACTGCTATGCTTGAGTAGAGGGTAAATTGTTAGTGTGATACGAAACGCTTAGACTATATTCTTCAGGCTGCTAATACGAGCGTAGCGAACTGAAGCGTGCCATGGATTTTCTTTTTTTTTTTTTTCGTACGTCACTCAAATTTTCATTCTGAGATTAACTCTCTAATGGCGGGTTTTTTAAAAGAGACAAACCTAAATGAGAAGCTTGCGTTACATAAACCGAGAGAGTTCTACTGGCCAAGTTATTTCTTCTGCTCATGCATTAGCTTAACAAGCGCGCCTATTGCAAAATGTGCCCATTTTCTATACGAGAAACATATCTGAGAAATCTACCGGCGGGCAATTAATTATCGAAAACTATTTCGAAAGTGGGCATAACTGAGCCGAGACCAAACTCTGTTACAGAATGGACTTCTGTTTCTCTTCTGTTTCTATACATTGCCTCTACAGCGCTTAATTTATTGCCAGAACAACCCAATTCAATGTTTCTATCCATGCTGTATTGTTTATCACCACCAAGTACCTCTGTAAAATAACTCATATTATATAAATAATTGTCTTCAGAAGCCAATGAACAAGTCCAGCACGGATACCGTTAACAGAATGGGGTACCTTTTAGGCTCGATGAAGGCCGTTTTGATTCTTAACGATATTGGGGCCATTGACGCAAGGAGCATCGGGGTTACGCTTGAAACGGCTGTTTGTTTCGCAGCTATGAGTATCCACAGATGTCTCCGTCCCGTTATGATATGATTTTTAATATCAACAGGCTTACTAATATAGGCTTATAGGCTTACTGTTCGTTTGCAAAATGTTGTTTTCTCTTTATGCCTCGACGGCTCGGTTACTTTTATACGGTTTCAAAAGTACTCTTTTAGAGTACCTTTTTCTGTATAGGTTTGTGGTCAGCTTATTGTGAGGTAAACAGAATTTTCCCTTGAGTTTTAAGTTCCGAAAACGGATATTTCAGGTGTATTTCGACCTTTTTCCTTTCTAATGTCCAAAAGCTACCAAATCAGCCCGGAATACTTATGCCGTATGCAATAAAGACTTCACAAGCAAGAAGACCTTCAAAAACGGTTGGCTAAGTCTGAAGATGAAATCTTGCACATAGGGGATGTAGTCCGTGGAATGGCCATATATGTGCATAGACAGGTGTGATACAATCACGTCTGTTACCTTTTATCATTAATTCACTAGATTAATCGCCAGGGACACATGTGACAACTATTTGCTTTTATGCCAGTCTCATGTAATCATATTAAAAAACAATAAAATAGCACTTATCAAAAAGTTGGACTACGAGAACGTTAGTCATCACGATGATGGCGCTGGTAGCAAATCTGCTGAGGAATTCGTCAGAAAGCACCAACTGCAAAGGACTCCTCATCCAGTACGAAGCGATAAAACAGACCGAGAAGCACAGTGCACCCAAGACAATCACGATGCACACAAGATGAAGGCGGTCAAAAGAAACCCCAAACTGGCCCAGCGCAATACGATTGACCTTGGAAAACTAGTGAGATAGAGACTTAATATTGTATATAATTACCCTATAATCTTCAAAGTGCATTAAGTACGTTATTGTACTTAGTGTGGTTGACCTAGTTACAGCTGGGTCCTTGGCTCACTTTTCACATCGTCCAAGCTATTCTGCATTTAAATGTATGTACCTCATGCCTGGAAAATAGCTTGTAGTACCTAGATTTCTAAGCTTTTTCTCTATCTTTGGAAAACGTCTCCGCCTCCAAAAACGCTATTGTTTCGCACTCGAATACTCTGAAACGTTATTCTGTAAAATTCATTATTTTATAGAATCAGGCGTTCGAGGAACATTTCTTTATTTGCAAATTTGAAACGCGTAAATATCTGGCTTCGGACGATCAGGTAGCCAGGTAGCATGGGTCACTGTGGCACTTACTGGGCCATTGTCGCATGACAATGGCCATATGTATATATGTGTGTGCGTGTGTGTGATTACCATTATATGGTATATCATCAAAGAAAAGTACTGATTACTAGAAACTGAAAGAATCTGAATCGGTATCGATCCGAAGTTGATTCATGGCCTAAATCGTTATATTATTAACGTAAACACTGAACTTGATCTAGAGGAAAACGAATCATATCCGTTTCATTACAATCGATGACATCATTGCGTGTCGACCTACAGTTCGATTGAACGTTCCTATTTTTTTTTTTTTTAAGCTAATTATTTGTATCTCGAATCTTAATAATGTTAAGAATAAGTATTCAGCTTTTGCTCCCGATGCTTCTTATCACTTACTACGTAAATGCTAGAAAGCAACAATGAAATTCAGTTAAATGATTAATACAATGCCAAACATTTAAGAGATGAGCACAAGGCATTGTCTCCCGTATCTACAATATTTACACTGCAAACCGCCACTGAAAATACGCGAATCTGTTCGTTCGACAATAGGAACTTGTCCTTAAATCTCTGATCGAAGCTGCGTTCCAGGACGAACCATTTTAGGAGGGAGCACTCGTGTCTGGTCTGACGTAAACAACGATCATTACGTAACAGGCTGTTTTTCTACCTATTATTACTTGTAGTATATTGTTATGCGAACGAAAGCGAGGCTTAACTTAGCAGACAACATAGAGAGGTAATATGAAAAAGGTACACTACTAACTTCACGGGTTGAAAGCATTTGTCTACGAAAAGCGACCTAATTCTTGAAGTCAAAGTCAAACGTGAGAGGGGCCTCTGGCGGAAAGAAGGCTACTAGCGACGGTTTTTGATATACGTTCCACAATATCTTTAGGCGGCTCGTGCACAGAGAATCAGGAACAACAGATAAGGTTCAGATATCTCCTAGGTTCCATTCTTTCTGTTTCTCTCTTTTACTTTTTTCTATTACAGAAGAGAATAAACGCGATGACGAATCAATACTGTTTTACTTTTTTCAGTCAAAGTTTTAGGATCCCCAAAAAAAAAAGAGTTTTAAGAGGCATTTTAGTCAATATTCTTTCTGTTTTCATTAATTACGTTTATTGTGAGGTGTGGAAACCAGTTTAAATTGCATCTTTTTGGAACATGCACCGCAATATAACTAATTTCTCCGAAATTAACATTATGAAAGATACATAAGCTGAAAAGGATAAACGTACAGAGGATAGATCTCACTTACAAACTTGCACTATCTGTTTCACGTATCAGGCATATTCTGAGGCCCGTAATATTCGGATAAGCTTTGCCTTCATTTAGGTACATCAACAATAATCAAATAATCGGTTGATTACCCCATAACTTAGACGGTGTTATTTAATCAATTCAAGTAACATTCAATGCAAAAAATGTCTCTCTAGCTGTTTTAGCGGAAATATGAAATCCGTCTCAAACTTGAAAATATAGCATTTTTCTCGTTTTGACATATTTACGAGACCCATTCTGCTGCTAATAACAAAGTTCCGTGTTCTAAAAATATGAGCAGATTTTGGCGTGTCCTCGACGAAAAATGTCTTCTACAACGGAACAGTCAAATCAATCGCCAGGCGAAACTCACGCGTTGACCCCTTCCCCACCAAGGGACAGCGGGGGAAGACCCAGTAACGATGGATTAGGATCAAGTGAAGAAGACAGTGACCATGAATTCGAGGGTTATGACTTAAACAGGTACGGGCTCTATATAAACTGTATACATAACGCACGTAAAACTCGGACGACTCGCCGTACGTCTCAGAGTACTACAATAGCAACAGCAGTGTCAAATAGATCTACATCTAATTCAAATTTCGAAGAGTTGAATTGATTTTGTCTGGCCGAGAAAAGAGCTTCTAGCCTTAAGGAACGAAGATTGCCTATTGCAGAATTGGATTTGACCAAATAGAAGTGCACGTTTCAGCTTGAATTGTATTAGGGATTTTTACAAAAAATTCACCTCGTGATTCTAAGATAAAACACTGTAAAGTTTATCTGTATTCTGCAGTGTAATAACAACTATCACAAATGCCGTACAGCACTGTGATCTGAATCAATTTTACAGACGTTGAATGCTGACAACATGAACGTATTCGTTGCAAGTATGGTTTTTATCCCATCATTTTTATTTTGAGATGCCACTGCTGTAGTTGAGCTATACGAAACAAATAAAAAAGAAGATTCAAAAACACAAATAATATAGTATAATGTCTGCCCGACTAGGAACCGTGCTATCGGTTTTTAAAGAAGACCCATCCTTCACCACAGATTAGAATCGATTTCAAAGGAGGTATCCATACCTCCTCCATGAGGTCCGTTTTCTTCAGAATAGGTTAGTCCAATAGTAGGTGCAACAAATAATTTCTTTCATAGAAAGTTTCGAAGCGACGAAAAGTTAGTTAGCACGCTGCGGCTCCTTGTAGCAAGGTCTGACATGTATTCAACTTAGTGGTAAGGAGTTTACTAAGTATATTGGCTGACTTCAATAAGAATTACTAATTTACGTACTGCATCTCAAAGAAAAAATGAGGAAAGTACCTCAAAGAGGAAAAAGAAAACACTCGACTGGAGTGAGTACCGTATTCCTTTGGGTTAGGTAAGTAAAATCGATTGATACATAGTACTTTTCAGTCAAAAAGTTGAAGCTTACTCTACTAGCTAGCTTCGGCATTTGGCATAGAAAAGACACCTATAACCTTACCTACCTCGTAAAGTTTTTTTAAAAATTACACGATAGGAGAGCTCTAGTCTAAAAAAGTCGATACAGTATTGTGCTGTACCCTTAATAATACCTGCATTTATTAAGCATCCTACATAAACTAGCTATATACAGGTCGATAGTCTAAAGTTTTTCTTGTTTATTGGTGTTTTAGGTGGATAGTTTTACATGCAGCTATACTTATTCCCGTAATAATCACAGTATGCTTCTTCGTCATCGATACTATCCTGAAACAAGATCAGAGAAAATATATCGAAGGCACCATGGAGAAACATCTCTACAACATGGTATGCTGATGAATCTGGTTCCACGCCTCGTATGATGATTCCTCACTGGCTCATTCATATACATAAACCTTATATAGTTCGCTTTATATAAAGGCGAATCGTTTTATACTACTCATTTTGGCAAAAAGTATTGTAGTTGAATAGACCGGGCAACGAGCAATTTGCGGCAGGTCTTCCTCTTTGAGGCTTCATTGCAAATTAACAATGCTTCATCTTGTCAACATTTGTTTACGTAGGTGTGTATGGCTCCTAGCTTTAGAGAATCTGCGTTATGTCTCCGATTGGGAGAAATTTTGGGTGGCAGCCCTTCGAAGTCCATAATGATGGACCATCCGTCGTACAACGTACCATCTGGCCATTGAATCGACAAATAAGAAATTTCTCCATGATTCATTCGAAGCACGTCTATCTCCGATGTATGGAAACCTCATAGCACCACTACATGAGTCGACTATGCTTTAAGTATCGAGTGTCTGCGATTTTAGGCCGTCATGATGTAAGTGTCGATACAGGCACCGCGGAAAACGCAGCAGCAAAAGACAAACACCGTTAAGTAAACTTCTTGGAAAAAATTATATAATTATGATTTGCCGATTATATGAATACAATGGAATAACGCTGGGATCTACGCGTTGAGGGCGAGCCGCCGAAACTGCCTGTTTTCTTCAAAGAGCTGGCTGCAAACACAGTAGTATTTTATAAGGATAACGCAAACATCGAATAAAAATTCAAAACCTCTGTTTTCACTAGAAATATTTTATTAAAATTGTTCAAAAAGTTAACTTTACAAAAATCGTTGGTATAAACATGTGAAATAATGTTTGAGTACTTCTTGACGCCGACGACAACTATCCGTCGTCACGAATAATCATAGGCACTCGATTACCGCCAGCGCGTCAGCCTATCAAAAGTGGTAATTACGAACTTTATTTTTATACGCAAAAACAAGCACTTTAGTTGTCTTAGGATATTTTGTATTCCCTTGTTAGTACACAAATTTGACACTGCTTGTCAGATTTTTAACACTCTTTTGAGTATATTTAATGCGTCGTTCGAAGTCTTCGGAGGCTTCATCCGGTTTAGACGATGGAAGTTCATTAACTGCACTCCTTTTAAACTTTTTATGTACCGCTCGTTTTCTGTCTCTGCCAGATCTCTCGGCCTCGGGAATAAAAGCGTTGGCCGGCGACTGGTGATTTCGCTGTCGCCGTATACAGAGTAGGTCTTCGTATTTGTCTATTGTTTAGTCTTTTTTTTCTTGGTCTTCGTCGACCGTTTGTAGGAAGCCTTTGTTGCCGTCTAAGAGAACCTTTTCTCCTGAGTGGAACAGCTTTGTTGCTCCATGAGCAGCTACTATACAGGGTAAACCGTACTCTCGTGCTACCACGGCACCTGAAATATTGGTCAAGTGCAGCGTGGTGAAAATAAATTTCCATTTGAATCAGTACTAGCTGCCGAAGCAGAAATTCAGTTTTATTATTCAAATCTTGTCGAGGGCAGGTCTAAATTGTCGCCGCCAAATGCAGCCTAGATCAAGGAATACAATTCGATTTCAGCATGTATAGGCTTCATACAGATAACTTCAGTGCATTTGGCATGCTTATACTAGAAGTAAACTAATGATTGCCCGATGATCCCATTAGACAAGTAACACGTATTTGGCAAATGAAAGTCAGTTATACGTACCATGAGAGATGAGACCTCCAAGTTCTGTGACAATACCCGAGAGCATCGGGAAGTATGGTGACCATCCGATGTCGGTGGCATAAGTAATCAAAATGTCCCCGGGCTGAATTTGGTGAGCATCATCCAGGCAGATGACCACACGACACGATGCTACGACTATTCCTTGCGCAACGGGTGTGCCATTAATCCGTCGTAAACCCCTCACTTCGGGACCCGGAGGGTCCATGTTCACCTAAACGAGAGCGGAAATCTTAATTCCATCTATGTAGTAGTCATTAATATTAATGAATACATATATACAATACGATGGCGTTCTAAGAAGAACGCCACTGTGTTGTAGGTTTCATTGAAGCTGGCAATGTAAGCTTGTTTGGCCATGGATATCCTGCTAGACTTGTGTTGATTAGTATCGTCAAAGCTAGTTACTGGCTAGTTAGTCAGTTACTTACCGGTTTAAATGGGAGTCCAGTACTGTGTTCAGGGTAGATGTCCTTAGATGCTCGAAGTTGGTTTTTTTTCCTGTGTATTGCACGCACGATGATTTTAGATGATCGGGTCGTAATGAGTTGCATGATCTCATTGGGTAACAGAAAGAAGATCAAATCAGGATCGGGTAAACGACCTTCGTAGACGAGTCGATTGGCCAATGTTCGGAACATCATACGGTATTTATGCGAGCTCATAATCAGATTGCTCTTTGCCCGTTCACGATTGGCGATACCATTGCGGACGCGATGCAGCAAAAAACGAAGGATACGCTGCTTCCATAGGCTCATCTGATCGAAAAACGCGGCATACATTTGTACTATAGTAACAACCATTAACTAACGTTTTCGCATACGCCGCCTTTACGAATTGCATATTTCCTACGAATTTTTTAAACTGAATGGATTTAAAGGCGCAGTACGAAGGCACTTTTGCACACAAGAAGTAATGACAGCTACATTGACAGGTAAATCATGGAGGCATTAGCTGTTTCTCACTTAGAAAATCTAACAAAACGCAGAAGGATATCGTACCTTAATTTCCATGCTGTCCACAAGCTCTTCAACGCTCACCTTCCTTTTAGGCGCAATGTCGGCCGTACCCAACATCTCCTGAATTGTCGTTACGACTGGAAGAGGATTCATTGCCCAAGGGCGGGATGCAAGATCAAACTGTAATCCAAGTGAGGTATTCAAAAAACGTATAATAAAAGTTTTTTACAATGGTAACTAAGCAGTCTTGTGTAGCTACTACGATATCAATTTGAGCCATTTGCGTTTGTCGCTTATGAAATGGTGGCGACACTTCTTTTGATCAATTCATGTACTAAAACTTCGAAGATATAAGACATAAAATTCTTTCACTTGTGTGATTTTTACACTAAAAGTTTTATGATTTTAAGGACCGAATGCCGCCGGATCAAATTTGACCGAATAGATAACACCGCACCCTATGCATGGAAGTATCTGCTTGAAATATCTTTTGCGAAATGCATTTCAAACCTCGTGCAAACAGCGATGGCCATGCTTCTGAAGAAAAACCGCAAAAAGCTCTGCTGTTTTCGTTTTGTCGCTTTTTAACTTTTCTAGCGCCTTTTCAGGAGATATCCTTTTAAACTCTTCACCGTAGTCCTTTCCTGCCTCATGGCTAATCTTCGCAAGCATCTGCGGAACGTCCGCACTTACAAGATTATTGCATGAAGCTACGACCTTAGCAAAGTCTCCGAATACTCTTTGGGTCCAACCTAAATCAAATTTAACCAAACGGGTAATTAATAAAAAGCAAATTGACATATATGTATCGTTAGAAAAAGAAAAGCAAAAATATAATTTCTCTACATACATTGTACGCACTTCCACAGCTTAGACTAGACAAGCTGCTTGCAGCAACTGCACTACGGTGATGCAAACCAGGATATCACGTTTAATGGGTGCACCAAGATGACAAACCTCCTTCGGCTTTTGAGAGCATCGCTAGTACGAACACGTTAAAGATCGTCCCGTAGTAGATCTGTTTGGAGTGGCCATTCAATGCATGTTCTTGTAGGTGTGGATTGGCCATAATTCGATGCAGTATTTCACGCGAATCCTTGCAATCGTCGAATGTTATGTTCGATTCCTGCACGACCTTTTCAGCCTCGTCTAGGATACCTTCCGCATTCCACATGTCCTACAAAGGGAACGCAGCATTTTTTTTCCTTAGACTGCATTCCTTTTCCTGTAAAATTTCTGTCCTAGAAATAGTAGGGGATTAGAACCTGACAAGTCTTCAATTTCACAGCAACTAAACCTTTTCAACGTTCTCTGTAAAAAGTTTACCTTTCGGTGTATGACGATATTGAAAGGCTAACCAATATTATAATTTGGGTTTAACCTTACTGTCTTAACGTTTGATACAAATGTAAGAACATTTTTAGTTAACTCAGGCGTCTAGAAGAGGCTCATATCATTATCATCTATTGTGTGCATTAGAAAATGACTGCCTCCAGGTAGAATCATCACTCCAATGTATTTTTATCAATTCTTTTCTTTATTCATAGGAATATAACTAGTCTTCAATTTGGCATTATTATGTTGTTATATATCGATGAGTATATCAGAGCCGTCACAAACAATTCTTCTAAAAGTACCTAAATATAAAGAAGCCAGCTTTCAAGCTAACCTTTATGAGGCTAAGAAAATTAGGTCGCCCTTCTTGAAACAGGTAGCGACGTTTATTTGCTGCCGACGTTTTCACAATATCATCGTTGATAATTCGGCCTGCCATCGAGATTGAAAACCCTCTTGACATGATATCGTCACAGGTGTAGTCTAGCACAGGCTAGAAAATGTAGAAAATAACATTATTATATTTAAAAACTAAAATTTATATGTTTTTTTGCCGACTGAGAGTCAGCTTTATAAATCGAATGTACTCCTTCGCCACAGATCCCAACACAGGCTTCATGGCTATTATGCACAGCTGGGAAGATCTCGCACCGAGAACATCAACGAAACATTTCTTTGGAATGACTAAGCGAAAGAAGCATACCGAGAATGTTGCGAAGAAACACTGACTGTTCTGTGTGAAAAAAAACTGGTCTCGAGCAAACATTATATCCCAAATTTTCTGGCCAGTTACTCGCATCCTCATTTCCTGCAGACGCAAATATAATAAAATGAAAACTGATTCAGGTTTCAGAGCCATTAATAATGTAACCGGCAACATTCTTTAATGCAGTGTTACAAAGATACAATGATGAAGTGGCTTTCTCGTTCCTAACGATCGATGTTTGTCCAGGCGATCTCCGTAAGAGATCAACAACAAAGTAGTATCAAAATAATATCTCAAAGATTCACTTGCCATCACTACTTTACCTTGAATAGTTTGGTGAAGCAACGGAAGCTTACTTCCAGGGTTAGAGGCGACACACTCCCGCCGAACACTTCACCAACGTTTGCCTTCGAAAGGCAATCGTATTCAGATGTAACGCCCGCGTCAGTTTCATGATAAAATTCGAAGTCGGTGTCTAACCGGTGCGCTGAGGTAACGGGCCGAGCCTGCAAAAGGACCAGTTTCTGGCCTCCAGGAGCGAAGGCCCATTCCGTGTCACGCTGCGAAGCGTAATGGTTCTCGATAAGGCGCGCAACCTCGCCCAATTTCTTTAGCTGTAATGGAATGATCAAATAACCAATATTTATATAATCAGTACTCTGACTCCTGACACCTGTCTTAGCCCTGGAAATATATAATAAAGTTTCTGCAGTTGTATGCAAGCGAAATTATTGCTTTTGATATCCCATAATTATGCATGAATATTTTTTTCAACTTCTCGTTGCTTTTTGTGTGTTTTATGCATCCAATTTCCATTTTTAAGTGAATTATTATTATACTGAATCATCATTGAATTACGATTTCTCTATTGTTACCCTTTGTCTAGTATAACGAAATCGCACCAGATACTGCAACTATCCTCACTCGCATAGCCTTTCTGCCTCATCAAAAAATCCCTTTAGACACAAATATGATCCTTTTTTTTTTTTTTTTTTTTTTTTTTTTATATCGGACTATTCCCATAGCTAAATAAAGCCTTCCATCTGCGTCACGATAAGTGAAAAGTAGCGCTGGCGTTACGAAAGAAGGGTACTAGCTATAAAAATCTGAGCATCGAAGTTCCATCTCTACCGTATTGGGTTCCTGTTCCCCAATATACAAGAGAATTGTCCAATGATCGCCCATCATTCGAAATATATTGTCGAAAATATACATTACCACAATCCATATTCATATCCATCACCAATAGAATTACAGATTGTGCTTGTTGTGCAGGAGGATCAAATGGGTTAACGTTAAGGTTAGTTTTTAGTTCATTTAACTTGTATTTTTCCCAATCAACTTATTTCGTATTAGAGGCATATAGTCTTCGAAAGACCACGACAGATAATGTCGAATATCGACTAGAATAAGTATTGTTACTTATGGCTAGAATGCAAATCGGTTCCTCAAACCGATCACCGTTCCAATTTTATTGCTCCATTTTTTGAGTTTCCTATTATTAACGCGAAGTGGCTGGGTTAACGTAATTAGTCATCTATTAGAAGCAGTATTCTTCTTTATAGTCTAATGTGTGACTCCAAGGACACTCGATAATGTCCGTAAGTTACAGTCCGTAGTGCACTGTTGATCCGTTTCATTTGCTGCGCTACCGCCGTCAGGCATCCTATCAGACTGCTGCCCCCTAGCCCGAAACGAAATATGTCTATGTCCGAACAGTGTCTTATTAAGATTAGCAGGCAAACCCTTTACTCACTTCGCGGACGATTAAATCAATTCTAAGCTATCTTCACTATACCGAAAGAAGTATTATCCAAAAGATAACACCTCAGCAGTTTATAGATCTGTCAAATCAGAGGCAATCTTCGTAATGGAAGATACCGAATGAACTTGTCAAATACTTACAAAATATAACACGCCAACAAACCGAGTACTGTGACATGTTTCGATTTCAGAAACTGCGACCACTGCCTCATGATTTTATCATACCATTTGCATTGTCTACTACGGGTCTTAATATAGTATGCACTTACCTGGTCTTCGTTAAGGCAGGCTTGAGTTTGGGCCTGCTGGGCTTCGCTATCGGCGACTTTAAGATTGCGGATGCCTCCACTATCGTCCATGACTGTGCGAAGTTTTTTACTTCCAAGCGTTGAGCTTACAAGTCGAGCGCCAAACTCCCCGCTCTTTTCAAGAATGAACGTATCGGGGTCTGCCGTTGCCGATACGACACTCTGCAATTAAAAATACACTAGATGTTAAGTATTTTGAACTCTAATGGTTGTAGTGTGAGCGACTACTAATCTATGCAAACGCCCCTTCGTTGGCACAGCGACCCTGCAGAAGATTTGGAACTTAAATATCTGTTTTTAGAGTTCATTAGCGACCTCAAAACGAGCTTCAGCTCGATTCCGCGGAAGGGGACCGCTACACATAAAAATACTTATTGTATCTGGGTTAATTAATTTTCCTAGATCAACATGTTACTTTACAGTACCGAAATATACTGAAACGTTAACATTTACTACTATATCGATAGTTGAATGAATTATTTTAACAACATCTGCATAGAGCGTAGGACATCGAGCAGGAAAGGAAGTATGTTGAAACTCTATTCGACCTCTCCTAGGCCGTAGTTCGCTGTGATGGTAATAAATTTCGGATTACACGTCACCGGATCCACGGTGAACATGACCCCTGAAACTTCAGATGCGACCATTTCCTGCACGCAGACCGACATACGGCAATTAATCTCCTGGCCATATCGCCTACAGGGCAGTGCACAAAAAAAACAGTAAGAAAAACATCAGACTCTTCGAGTACCGGTAGCAATCGTATACTATATTAGAAATCCGAAAGCGAAAAATACCTACATAATACATAAATAAGAAAGTGGCATATTTTAATAAAACAATATGCAGCAAGGATGAGTGTAACTCAGTACATCTACGTATAAATTATTTGTAAGAGAGCCGATAGGCCATAAAGATGTAACCGTTTTGTTGAGCGGTAGTAGCTTGTTCCCTTGTGTCTTTGCTGATACAAATAGTATTCTCTGTAGCATCCTTGCACCGATGTGGCGCACTTGTTACAAGCAAACGTATGATGACACAAACCTTCGGTACTGCAGTGCCACGAAAGAGAACTGACTGGCCCAACATTTAGCAATTGAACGAGTGATCTCGTCCAGACCTCGGCATCCGAGGAAGGTTTCCATTTGGCCGGCAGCCGACATCTCTTCTGAATCTTCGCCTACGGCCGAGGAGCGGACAGCAAAGCGCTTTGATTTAAAATCAGCTCCGAATATTCTGCTCAGCTCTTTATTGAGGTCATCTTTGATCTCGAAAGGTATCGCCGCAGAACCAATGGTGTTGACAACTCTAGAATTGAGCAGCGTAATTAGGCGAAATACAAACAATCAATTTTAAACAATTTCTTTATTTTCACTTAACTAGCCTGCAAAATAACAGTGTACAATGCACACACCTTCATATAGTAAGAACGATTCTAACTTCAACTTCAACAATGAAGCTAAGACATAAATTACATAATTGGAAATGTTCAATATATAAAACGAAGCACTTACTGTTGGCAAACGTTTTTCAATCGCTCCATATTCGTCTTCGCCCGAACGGTATCTTCGAGCTGTTGGACGGCTTGGGCTACGACATATTGTTTTGTAAAAAGATCGTATGCTACCGTGGTCACCGCCAATCCTTTCGCCACCTCGAACTAGGTATAGGGATGAGGTAAAGACATTAAGTAAGATAAGATCTTAAATAGCACCTACGTTTCAAACTGACTCATATGAAAGTTTGCGGTTGGTGTCTCTCACAAAAGTCTAGACAATAGCAAGTTCCTTTTCATAGACGACCATCGTGTATGATCCTAACAGGAGGCAATGGAAACCATTCTTTTATTATTACAAACTAGATCTTTAACATTTTTCTCCACTTCATTAATATAGCCTAACCTACTTTTTCGCAGTCCTTTGCTAATGACGTAAGAATCGCTAGTGAACTGGCCTTTCCGCCAGTGAAATTTGCATCGGCGCAGAGTCTGTTTTCGAACGAGACTATATTGCAACCTGAACCATGTTGAAGTCGAATTGGTTCTCGAATGTGAGTAGCTATCGGTAAGAGGTTAACTTCAACACGATTTCTGCAACTCATTAAATAAATGAAACAACAGTGATCAGACGCACCTTTTATAAACATTGCCGTAGTTCTACCGTATATGGAACACGAAATTATTGCTAATTGGGCAATTGATCTGATGCCCATCCAGTTAGCATCGTACGAGGAGAGCATAAATATCTGTATTAAAGCAGCAGCGATATGTCGCAATGAATTTTACTGAGATTTCATACTAGAACGGCATTTTTAGCGAATCGCTTTATGGCAAAATAGCTAACTAGTGCAATGTTTATTTTTTTTTTATATAAACGGTAATCTTGTGTATAAAAATCAAAGATTCTGAAAACCTTTGATTATCGTTCTGCTTTAACACGAAGTTCCAAGTGCTAAGCTGTTTTATATTTCAAACGACTCACCTAAGTGCCCCAAAGAACACGGCGTAACCCTCTCTGGTGTCGAAAGTCATTCTAAAGACTCGAGCAGTTCGCTTCCGAGTCTCACTGTGAAATTCGTGATTAAACGTCAGAGTGTCGAGCTCTTCGTCAAGTGTTAGCTCCATCGATGGCAAGGATCCTATAAGAACGATTTAAACGTGTGTAGCAACTTCTTCTGTTCGTCTGAGCGTCTTTACTACTGTATTATCGTATCTATCTATGGTGGAAAGGTTCGACGGAACATTTACCATTCAATCGAAGCCAATTAGCACTTCATTGAAGGAATATTCATTGCTCTGTTGCTCTATATCACCTAGTAGAAGAAGCCATTTATTGAAGTTAAGAGAGGATCATGGCGCATCAAATACGGGAGCATTCCTCTCATTTGGGCAAGAAAGCTGATGATCTTCGGTCATGGGTTTATTCGTTGTTAGAGAACAAGCATTACGTCATGGCAATCGACGAGGCAGTTAATGCTTGGACATTATCGAGATGAGGGCAATGAGATGATAAGATAACCTTGTCGCTTGCTGGGCAAAAAATAAGCTACAGTTGCTCATACTAAAAGCTTAACTAGATATTTTTCGCCTTTGGCCGGCTTCTGGCCTAAAATACCTCGCAAACTTTTATTCCTAGAGTGCCACTACGAAAGCCACGAAATGCGCATAAATATCTCGCGCAAATCAGGCGGAATATCTTACCGCATCCGAGAGTGAAGCCCCTGCAAATATCGTTCTGTTTCATTACATTGAGAGACGCGTTTTCTATTGGAAGGTGAAGAAACGATGGGAAGACGAGTACACCGTTGGTCAAGCTTTGGCTCAGACCTTTAATGGATACCTCTTCCAAGTAGACAAAGATACCGTTCTGTAAATGAACATTATTAGTAGAAATTTAGCAAAGTAAGAATGAAAAAAAAATAAGTTTAGACGGCAGAGTCACTGAAAATATCCCTACTCCTGCTTAGTCGTCATATAACATATATAAATTTCAACTCGAACTTTCGTTGCTCGCCGCCACTGCTAGCTTAATGCCGTCACAACTATATCTGCCAACATTGAAGCCAAAGTAAAAATCGTTGTTTGACATTATAAAGCAATGTAATAACGTTACGTATGACCATGTCACTCTGCCAGTTGGAGACAAAACAGTGCTACACGGTTAATGTGCTTGATAATTTGTGTGAAGCATAGCAGATGGCATCTCTGTTACTACTAAACAGATAATATAGGGAAATCGTTGGATATTTTTGGAGTGTCAGGTCGTACCCGGGTGTAACCCATGAGGGTGCCGTGGGTGTTTACAGCAGACGAAGTCTGTTCTCTACATCTTTTTTTGTAACCAAACGCGAACACTTCTTCTTCGTGAACTTCTGAAGACGCTGTTTCCTCTACGCGAACCTGAAAAAAGCATAACAAAACATGTGACTTAACAACAAGGTCCATAGATTACTCGGCCTTCTACTTCGAAAATTTTAAAGCTATTCACCAATAAATTTTAAAAAAACAGTAATTTACATACACAGAGTAACAAGTTCTACTATTTAAGGGTAAGGAACTACAACATGAATTACAAGACGGTTATTTCTGCTCAAATATTTCGCTCGGTTTCCTGATGGCACCAGGATGAACTCATTTTTAACGACTCTGCAGCCAAGCTATCAAGACCCAAAAACTGCTAGTTAGTGGCAAGTATTGTATGTTGTATAGGCCGTCAGTTGGATGTGACGGATGCCCCACAGTACTCCATCAGGCATTGAGTCTATATTGAAAAGGGCGTGGCCTTAGTTGCTTAGGGACCTTGTATAAATAAAATCAAATTCAAAAGCCGACATTCGCAAATGCCCCTGAGTAAACAACACCCGACCGAGAAACTTCTTCAATCTGCTTAAAAATAAACTTCTACATTTTTTAGAGCTCATGGATCTAAATAACCAGAACAAATCCGCATAGGTTATAAAGTGTTTACGCCATAAAATGAATAATTATGCCAATGGAATGTCATCCATAGTCTTCACTATCTTCGGCTGCGATTACTTTTAGTTGGTGGGCTGCCATCACACAAGATAACTATAACATTGACAATAACTATAATAGTTCATACTGATCATTGTCATTTCAGAATAATCAAAAACCCGCTATACATGATAAGAATTTATGAGCTAACATAAAATTTCTTCACCTTCCCGACATAAGACATAGACTGGATGATGGCATCGATTTCCTTTAAGCTGCGATTGATGCTTCCGGGATCACTAATTGTTTTGAGAAGAGAGAGTTTAGGGCTACGAGCAAGCTGCATAGCTAACAGAGGTTCCGAGTGGAACACCGCCTGATCGGCCACGCTAGTTACGAAATTACTCCTGAAAATATCAATATTAAAATCTACGTCAGTCCTAATACTAACGGTAAAATCCAATGACTCTGAAACAGAAACACACAATGTTTTATTTGGACCTTTTAACAATGAAATTCGTAATGACTATAAGTCTTTATGATGTTATACGTTTGCGCTAATTTCGATCCTGTCATACATAGTGATCTTATACTTGTCATACAGTTTTTTCCTCTTAAAATGTGTCCTTATATATATGGCGTCACAATTATTATTATTATTATTATTATTAACATTTAGAGGCAGATATTAACATGTTAGAAGTCAATATGGAGCATTAAATAACAACATTTGAAATTTTTCTATAGGTTATCGTACTAGTAGTATCTAGTGGGCTAATAAGTCGTTGCTACAAAATGCCACAGAATTCGAAAGAATTATTCATTTGTACATTTTTTTTTTCGTATACGACTAAGAAAAAATGCAACTGGCAAGTATTACAGACCAGATAAGATTTTTTAGCGAGTCTCGAGATACCTAAAAGTGTATATATATATATATATAGACACAAAGAATTAGCTGATAGCAGTTCTCGAGGGAATAATTAACGGGTTAGATGAGCGTGCAGCACTTAGTCATCATTAGGCCACGCAAAACTACTTACGTAAACACGAAGCGCACGTGATCATCTGCTCCAGTCGACTTGTTCCTGCAAGCGTTGAGAAGCGATACCCCCACATTACTATTTTTAAATTGCGTAATCTACTGGTCTAGATAGCTTTCGCCTGGTACACTAAGGAAAAGGAGGATCATTCCAACGAAACTGGCCCGTTGTTGCCAGCAGATTTAGCTATGCCGTGTTTTCACGAGTCGATCAAATGTTTGGACATCGGCATGGAGATGTAACGCAAAACTATGAAAATATATTTGTCTCAGATAGAAAATTTGTTAAAATCTGTTTAATAAATCAACCTTTTATGGTCAGTGTACATCGAACACATAAATCCCTTCTTTTGTGGAACCAGGATGCGGAACGCAACGCCTCGTAATGGTGTTTCTTTGTTGGTAACTTTCGAAAACCAACTAGAAATTGATCGCATCTATGTTTTAGGAGAGGTGGAGGTGTAATATACAATTTCTTAACGTTTAGCGTATTGGCTACACGGCCAAATGTGCACTAGGAAGGTTTGACTTCGCACTTAAAGATGTGGCCTTTATGGCCATTGTGCCAACTGTATCATCTATTTACTGTGGAAGCATCAAAAGCGACCAACTCAACAACCTTTAACACAAGAACAATTGTAATTATTTCTTCAAAAGTAATTATTTCTTTGCAAATCGCTTACTTAGGAAAATTTCTTTCACCCAATATATTTTTCTAAAACCTTGCAAAACAAAAGCTTGCATTAAAGTTGAAAAATACGGAAAATTGAAAAATGTTTGACGCTCCTTACGGAAGCCGCTGGTATATTGCGTAGACGTTAACAAATTTCTTTTATCCTCATTAAATTAAACCTGATTCTGGAATTTTATTGGCAAACCGAGCGTAGACTCAGCGATCTAGTAAGCGATCAAATAAATACTTTGTAGTTTTTTTTTGCTTTACGGCCGCTTTTCCTGATTTTCTAACCTGTCTTTTCAATTTTTTAACGACTTTTTGTCCGTGCTACAGAGAGAAATGTAGAGGCCACAAACGAGTTTGCTTCTGAAAATGCACTAATTCTTTTCCCATATGATGAAAAATAAAAATATACGAGTATAAAAAATTAAATAAGTCTAATTAAATTAGTAAAAAATAAAGCACAAAGAAACTTGGCAACCAGCTGTGTAGAATCGACATCGAAAACGCTTCATTTCAAAGAAAAGCAACAATAATGAATTCCACACTTGAAGGGCCATTCGTCATCTTTCTATGAAATTTGTTATTGCATAGGTCCAGCAAAAGCATTTATACTAACCTCAAAAGACCGTTAAATGAGATCCTCCACCGCTGCAGAGGTATAATACACTCCAGGCGCAATCCGTCCACCGCAAACGTATCCTCAGCCGAGTGATCAACGTATATGTCCTTCGACAGGACATAACTTTCTTTCTGTGTACGCAAATATAAAAACACTGTTGCGCGTTTGTCTGCGCGTCGTGTCATGAGCAAGACCATAATTTGGCCGTTGGCCGATGCTGAAAACAAGTGCAGGCCATCGTTCGCTTTATGTAGGGTATCCGCTTTCGCTGGCCATTCGACATCAAACACCTGCTGTGTTGGAAGTGCGCCATACTTGTACGGATCATTACTCGACAGGTCGAAAAGTTTAGAGAAACGCGCCTGTCGGGATGATCTGGTTAGCCAAAGTAGCAAACGAAATACGAGGTAACGCAAATATGTAAGCCAATCCAAACTACTTGGTTCAACTGTCTTGGCTGTACTGAATTTTGCCATCTTCTTATCTCTTCCGTTCTGTCTCAGTCTATCCGATACGGTCTGTACGTTGTCCGAAGGCTACACGGAAAATATTTTTACTTCTCTAAAACGTTGCCTTTTTCCGTGGTTAGAACTGTCGAGGCACCGAATCGCAAGAGCTAGCCAGCCTTACGTGTGTGATTTAAATAGACACAGAGATCAACTGTGTCTGTATGTGTACATAAGCGTCTCTGCGTGTGTATGTGTGTGTGTCTTTCTTTTATGTTGCGGTTGTTGTAAATGCACGCACAACTAGCCAAGCTCGATTTAGCCCTTTCCACACAGAAACTGACCTTTCCAGCAGAGTTAGCTTTGACAGTGAGAGACGCGTCGCTTCTATCCATGGAGCACCACACTTTTTGTCTGAGACTACTGGTACATACTAATCCGATATGGACATCGATTTACGCCGCGCGAGTCACTACGCATTGAAGCGAATCGCGATCCACAGAGAAACTCTGCAAAGCCACAAATCCTTTCCATTGATCACTGTTACTACTTCGCCTTCCATCCGCACCTCGTCTCATTGGTAATCGCTTGCAGCTGATGATGCAATCGACTCTTAAAATGGTAAAAAAAAAAGTTTTTTGACTTAAAGGCTCCGCCAACAATGATACAGCAAAAGCCAACTCACCCTCACTAAGCTTTCCGTCTCGCAGATAGTTACAAGCCTTTGATAAGGTCACGTACAAGGACCAACGAGCGCTGCCAATATCAGCCATGCTAATCGGAAAGAAAGTAAAAATTTAGAAACGCCTCTCTCGCGAAGGGACTTATCTGTGCTCTAGCAGCGAAGCCATATTGAAACACAATTGCCATTCGAAGAAGGCTTAACGGCCGCTAGAATGAAAAGCCAAACTAAAACCAGCGGCGTATATTCGGTTGTGTTCCCAGACTTTGTAGTCGAATAAACTGTTCTTACAACCAGTAGTAGAAGTTCTACACTTTCATAGTTGTACCCTTGAGTAAAGAGGATCATTTTTGTTATAATGGCGACTTGGTACATGCTCGCCAGGATCGCCCCAGGCCTCCCGGGCCGCGGGTGAGGTTACGCCTCCATACCCCATTGATGGACGCCACACAGTCTGTGTATAATTAAGTAGATCGATAGCTGTAAAACTATTACCTTAATTTAGAAATTTGTAGTAAGCCATTTAAGAAATCATGAGTTCTGCAGCCATGCTAAAAAAAACGCGACCATTCGAGCTCAACGTCATGCCCACTTATAAATAATATAAGATATTGATTTTTTTGCTATTCTGTGGTATTCGACGATTCTGACAGATCGATTAGCGTCCACAAGCAATAAATCCAATCTTTGGGGAGTGGGGCGCCATCGAGAAGTGCAAATCTTGTACATTGCTTTTAAATCACATTCGGTTGCTTTGTGGCTCATGATTGACTTACACAGTGAGATTCGCTCCAACCAGAAGTCGAAATCGCTAACCCGCAGTCCCGATTATGTTGCCAGACAAGAAAATATTACTGCCGGGACACCCCTTTCAAGTTAATTGCTGGTATTTCACTTCGCTTGCCGATATTAAGACATAAAACTGAGGGGAAGGCTGATTTTGTTCGAAAAACAGACGTAAAGGACCTCAGAAATTATACTGATACGTATTCAAGCAGATTTTGAAGCGAAGAACTGTCAATTAATTCGGTCCGTACAAAGATAATAGCATGCAAACTAAAGGTTAGGGAAGCTGACCTTTTAACGCAACGTCCAAGTCTTGAAAAATACAAATACTCCAAAAGCCGTTGAGTAAAAAATAAATAATACAAGTCTGCGTTTACCATTGCGTGTCGTGCTCGATACTTACTGCAGCACGTAATAACGACAGAAAGCGCAAACATGCAGTAAACGGTCGCGTTTGGACCTGTTCCTGTTTGTCTGGACGTCTCCTTTAGTACAATGTACTTTCTGCGATAGTACTTTTTTCAAATCGTATGGTTCCACATATGACTTGATTCGTACATGACGTACCTCCATACTAAAGATGGCCATTGGTACACCGGATAGAGAATGCCAGCTTGTGAGCGCCCCTTACATTACGATCTACGTCGATTTTATAGAACTTGTTGCTGATAGGCACTCTAAACGGAATCGATGTGCATGTAGACGAACCATATCTGTGTATGGAGCCAGCGATTGTTATGCATCTCCACTCCAAAGACGGACAGGGGGGTTTTTATAGCTATCTGATACGGTAGCAGTCCTTTTGTTCAAGGGTCGACCACTTCAATTCATTAAATACGTATTTTAAGATTAAAAAATAGGCGTTGGCTTTACTGCGGCGTTTCCAATGCGAACTCGCCTATCAAAGGCATGACGTTAAAATTCGAAGCCCAGCCAAAGTTGAGCTTCGTATTCAGTGAAATTATTACCCCTTTTCTTTGAAACGTCATTCTATCCAGGCATAACTCATACTAGCCTTAACGGAAAATATTTGGCCGATCTTGTAAGTACCAATTAAGAATGTCCATAAATGTTAGAAAAATAAATTGTCAGATGGGCTATTCTCTTTTGTCATAAACGTTTCAGCTGTCCAGTATCCCGAAACAATTTTCAGCGGCGAGATTCTACTAGACGCCGTCCGCAACGACGTTCGACAAGTAAATATACGCCGCTAGTGGGACTATCGCGCATTACAGCCATCCTGCAATGGTTGCAATGACTATACAGAGATCGGCAATACATCAGTTTCTGTTTTCACTCAAAATCAGTAACTTTACGAGATGAGATGAGACTACCAGAGGGCACTACAGGTAGCCCTAACGGTTTTTAAGGCCTTTTTCCGTCGCTTTCTCCCCAGCCACTTGTCTTGTGCCTAGACTTACGTTTCATGCAAATGCCCTACCAAATCAGTCAAGGATCAAAGGAAGCTTTGGCTACTTAAATGCATTGAGTAATTTCGCCGTGAATACTACCTGACAAGTGGACAACTCTGGTCAAGTGCTTAACGCATGTATTCGAATCAACGGACCGGTCAGTTAGACGCACAGCCAGCCATGCAACGCTCACAAGACTCTCGCTCATGCAGTCACTCATCTAAGAAGTTAACGTGCTGTTAAGATAATTAATTAACAGTTACCCTGCTGATAAAACAAGGACAGAGATCGCGTTAACCTTATTTTGTATCCATTCAATTGCGTGCACACAAAAACCATTATTGGCTATATAAACAAAGGCACACAAGCCTTTTTTCGTAACAGCGAGAAGATCCAATTCACACTCCTCTGCGATTCGGTGGTGGTTTGATGACACATTTATTTTGGGGCGAAATCGGCGTGACTAACGTCAGGCTTAACAACGCCAAGCTTATAATCGCATTATAATATTGTCTTAAAACGCCTTATGATGTATTAAATTCACCATACTATAGATAGGCTACTTCTCTGACGTGTGCAAATTGCAGTGACACGAATACTAGGTTTAGTAGTTGATTGTTTGTTTACGACCTGATTCAGGATCGTACGACGAACTTTAACTGTACCTTTTGCATATTAAGATACATACACATTCTACATACACATTTATTTTAGATTTAAATCAACAATCGTATCGAGAACCAGCAGACGGCAATAGAACTAGGTATAAAACCCGGTTTTACCGCCTTTGTTAAGTATTGTGTCTAACGTAGCGTCTCGTTGTAGAAAGTGTAATAGTAAGCTAATTCAAAATTCGCCCGTAGAAATAAACCTTTTCAAATAAATATTGTTTGAAAAAAAGTTTTGTTACATAAAAGTACAAAATAAATATTTTTAGACTGAATATATATATATTCAGGGCGGTAGCAGTTCTGTTAATGTCTGCTGTAAAAAAACAGGACTTTTAAAAAAATCCATTTTATATCAAGGTACGAACTCTGTTCGTTTAGCTTAATTTTATTGTTAAATAAAATCATACTGAACTTTCATTATTTTTACCGAACCACGAGGATTATTACGTAGCCCTCGTTGACGCAGTTGACAGCTTTGTTGCACCCAGTTTTTACTGCGTAATTGTCCATGACCGACTCTGTCGCGCATCGATCTCCCGCAGTCCGGTGGCAAGCTGCACACAGCCTAACTTAGAAAGATACTGAATCGTAATCTAGTGCTAACAAAATGAATCTGTTTTTCTGCGAACACGCAACAACATCGTTCACGTGCTGTAGAAGAGGGAGGAAGAAGGCTGTGCATGATATCGACTAAAAAGATACTCGTTTAGAAACGAGACCAGGCAAAGTAAGCGAACATTCAAAACACTGTTCGCAGAAACCTCGGAATGTGCTACAATGTTCGCGTATCATTACCTCTTTGACATTTGATAGACTAATCCTCCAATGAAAACCTTACCATGAGCAACTGTACCCTCACTGCCTAAATACAATTATCTCACAGACAATAGCTTTTGTCATGCTGTGTTCGTGATGAGTGCTGACCTATGCATATAGTTTACGTGATGCGAATCAAAGCTATTGCAGCTCTAATTCAATGTATAACACATCGTACTGAATGGCCACTCATCATCTTAGGATAGTTAAGCACATCACTTCTATTTACTAAGTCAATATATATTTCTGTAAGTTTAATACACATAGCACGGGATATGTACAGATCAGTGAGTTACTTGGATAATAAATATATACTGTTTACTTGCATTTTTAATGCTTTCTTTAAAAAAAAATATGACTTTATTATACGGCAATCGGCTTTTTCGACTTGCATATATTACTACGAACTTTCCATCGTATTTTCGTGTTCGTCAACAACATGATAACCGTCCAGAATAAACACCCGCGCTCTGAAACAGCGAAGCCAAAATACCACTCGTTACGACTTACACTGATACGCTTTATTACATTACGTTATAGAATTGGTGTCATCTTCTTTTGTCTCTTCAGATACCTCATGGAGAAGAATGGGCCCACAAAGGCAGCAAAAAACCTTAGGATCACCGTTTTTGGCGACTACTGAATTACCTACGCAGGTGGTATTTAACTTCAAATTTGTATTTACGAGCAAGAAGTGCTTACCCTATAATGATAAGGACCAGGATTTTGAGTGCTCTATAAGCACATTCAAACTTGAATGTACTTCGTAAGCCGTTTCTCTTTCCTACTGTTAAATTCTATCTTTTCACATGAAGACATAACTAATAAGCTCAGGCTTGGGTGAAAGGTAAGTCAGCGAGAGTTCTTTCAGCGTACAAATTGATACAGATATTTTCGTTCCTCTTTTAGATATATCTTCTAGAATATAGAGCTATTTGTTTCTGAGCATAGAGCGATTGATATAATGCTGTGCAGCCTTAACTACAAAACCAAGTAGTAGTACAATGTAAAACAGTCCATAAACCTCTATTTTGTAAGCGTTATATATTTTAAGACAAAACAAAGCACATAAAGATCAATTTAGCATATGATGTATGAATCTGCCTCTCCAACGTAGATAACATTTTTGCGTACGTTGCAGGGGATACGACAATTATTAGACAGACATTACTTACTCTTGTTTTGTCAGCTCTTCCGCAAGAAATGTATTCAAAGTGTGTAGATTAGCTATGTAGAACCTCTCGAGCTTTACGCCTCGTGTCCGTACTTCCTCAAGCTCGTGATCTGTCATCCTAATAAAAAATCAGACCCATAATTAATAACTTTAACTTAATTCAATGTTATTTTATCGAAAACTTGCGAGTGTATAGAGGGAGCCGGTAGAAACCGCTTTAACAAATTGCTGAGTTCAGTATGTTCAGCTATATCGGTAATACGTTGACTTTTGGGAGCGTAGTCCCGGCTGGATAGGACGTCGGCTCTTGTCGGAAGTCCAGTTTTAAAAGGAGTTGTGTCATAAAAGGAAAACGGATTGCCACTAAAGCGGCTGGACGGTGAAACAAAATATTTGAAACTGAGAAAACAGATTCAACATAGGCAATGTTCTAGAGTTTTAAAAAGTCCTAAATAGCCAAAAACGTCCAGACCATTACACTCACTCAATTAGTCTTTCAATTTTTTTTTTAGTCTCCGTCAGATTATCGAATTCGGCTCGAATGTTCTCTGAAATTGGCAAATTTTGCTCGGAGTTATTTATTTTTTACGATATAAGTTAACCTAACCTCATTCTCTTACTAGAACTATATAAAAACTAATGGTCTGATTTTAACATTGCGCCCAAATCTTAGCTAGGGGAACCTACTGGGCTGTCCCGAAAAGTACATGCCCTATACACCTCCAAATTATACGATTTTAGAGGATCGAAAAATAATAGAGTTTATCAGCAATAGCAAGTTTTGAATAGCTTTAACAAAAACTTTAACATTTTAAATCGTTAATACACAAGTTATGAGAAAAGACAGCTTTCTGTACAAATTTATGATTTTCAAAATTGACTCAATCTCAAATCAGCGACGGTACTATACGACAAGATATGTATTAAACATTTTATCAGTGAATTCTTATCTGTATAGTTCTATAAAATTGCCTACTTCTAGTAGACCTATTATTATGAATAAATGCATAATAGTACCCTATCGTACTTTGACGAGGTGCGATTCTTAAATTTATTGCGGTGTTTACTACGTAGCCGAAAATTGCGAAGAGATAGGTTTATACTTACCCTGCTTTCGGCGCACCTCTTCTCCACTGAAACAATGGTAACGTCAACAATATAGCAAATTATATATAAATATTTTCTATGGCTCATGAATTCACTATACTCAGTATTAATTAGCGTACCTCATATAAAGCCACTGAACGCATTTTGTCAGTTTAGTTTATTTACTTGAAGTTGGTTTGGAGATTCCAGTACACACCTGAATCCAATCCAAATATTTTACTCGTGTCATCGTCTAATACGGATTTACACGTAAACAGAATTTCCGAAGAATCTTGCATAACGCTCCACTTTGAGTAAGATCTGCTCAGATTTAATCTGTGATATAAGCGGCTAGTAATACGCCAACAGAAATGCCTACGCTTTGCAGTAAGCGTGCAAAGCTATCAAACATTTACCGCGAGAATTTGTGCAGCAAAAGTACTAAGTAAAGCTATAGCAACTATAGCCTCTAGAGTCCTTACATTTTCCTAAAGTACTCCTCAAGCTGCCCTTCTACTTCAGCAACGAACTCCATCGTTCTGTTATTCATATCAAGCACGTATTTGATCCTGAAAAACACGGTAAAGAGCGCACTTCACCATGAATTACATGTACGAAATTCACTTCTCTAAATACATTTTTCTTTTTCAAACCGTTGGACGAACTGATCAAATAATTATTTTCTTTAAATACTTTCCTTTGGGAAACTGGTTACAACGTTTTTGTGCACTTCAAAATAGAATGCTTTTCCTAATTCTCCTTTAATACACATGTTATGAACGAACGTGATGCTTCGCATGACGCTGTTATACTTCGCTAGTTTATTGTGGACGGTTTATGAAGCCATCGAAGATGAACAATTTGGTAAATTCGAATTGGAATTCATTCCTTTACAGTCGATAGCGACGGTGGCGGTTGCGACATCAAATCAAAATTGGCCAGCATATATTTACCGTACTAAATGTTTTCATTTTCTACACGAGTAGAGTAAATCCTTTTCGATGGCACTTACTGTGATAATAAAGCAAATGCTTTGGAGGACGCACGCTTTTCGGCTTCTCCTAATACCACCGTTGAACCCTGCTCCGGCATCCTCGTCATGGCAATTTCGTCCAAGTGGTTTGCATATGAAGTATCTGTCGTTGTCAATTCTGCCGTAATTAGGTAAGCATGAAGAAAACAATCTACGAGCAGAGAAAATTGCACAATCAGAGCAGCTGAAAAAACGTTACTCTCCTTTAGCATAGAGCTGTCCACCATCTTGTGGCAGGCTTCTCTCATCTGTTAATGCACGAACGTCAACAACGTCAAATAGCAACTTACAAGGGAAAGGTCCACTCAGCGTTGTACAGGTCCCATGCACATGCCTGTCAATGTTCTGTGCCGGTCACGCATGGCTCTACGATACAAAAACAACGGCTAAAATCTAATCTTTAACCGTTCCTTCGTGTCTATATTCTCACTCCGAACATCAACAACAGATTCTGTAGGGAACAAATCTGTCTAAATTTCTCTAAATTCAATCGAAGCGAATCGGTGTTATGATAAAAATAGTATTTACGACGTAGACATGGACAAAAGAAGTGCGATTAAACTGGACTGTAAAATGTTCACTCTTTAACAGAGATATTTTCAAGTGCGCCTTGAGAAGAGACAAAACTTTCCAATAAGAAATACAAATAAATCCATATTATAAAATAGGGGTTGTTCCGACACGGCAAAAGCCGTCTATAACATTTTAGCATATATTAGGATCTCTCAGGTATACCATTTGAATAAGCAAACACCGAACGTGTGCCGCATTGTTTTACCGATAGAACATTACAATCGAACATACTACAGAAGCATGACAAGATTCCGAGCTACGCCAGAGCAAACGGAAAACAATACTTGGATTCTTGACCCTGAAATTGTAACATTAGACTAATGTTGTTGTAATATATAGGAAAAAGCGCATACAAGGGCCTAGATACTTTAAGACCAAATGATACATATTATTGAAAGCGCAAAAATAAATACATAAAAACGTTTATATCATTGAGGCCTTCTCTATCTTTCTTCTATTGAGAGAAAATTGAAGGATGAATAAAGGTAACCACTTAGATCCAATTAATAGTTTTTAGATTTAAGACGATGAACTCTTCCTGCTTCTAGAACTGGCTAACAAAATTGTGGTCGTTCTATTTTTTACATGTACATTTCATGCAAGTTTACGACTTAAGCAACATTTCAAATAACAATGTCTACTGCCTAACTTCCTTCATTCTTTTTTTTTTTGCTGTTTTTTTACCATGTCGTATTGCCGACACAATAGGCTTTAGAAAGCTATTATTGCCCAGCTAAAACTATTCACCACCATTGCGTTGCGGCCCTTAACACTTTAATCGGAATCTTTTTATTTAAAATAAACAAGGAGCTACAAGTTATTGTGCATTCCTTCCAGAATTTTGCAAGTTAACAGTAGTTGTGATACGCCATAGGCAAAAAGAGATCATGTTCTTCTAAGAATTTTTTAACTTTCTAAGAAGTTAGTTCCAGTTAAATAAGCGATTATGTCGTACATTTGTCAGTATCCAAACTGTCTACAACATCGCTCGACACCCAATGGACCTTTGTCGCGCACCACGTTTAATAGGTACTCGGGTAAGTATAGCAACGTCTTTTGGTCATTGCTTTTTATTAATCGTTATATATTAATAACATTGTTCTCTTTAGCGCATTTCCTGCTCTACAAGGATCGTCAGTTGATTATAGTCACAAAATGTTTGGACTCCAGAGATGGCTTTAAAAAAGAATTACGTATGTGTAAGTGGCAGAGAACGTTTTTAAAAGTTACTGTTCATCTGCAAAACTGAAAAAGACCCTACAGCTAAAAACGTCACCTAAAAATAGTTTCAAACAACACAATTTTGAAGTGTTTAGCAATATTTCACGCATGTAACGAAGGGCCGCCTGGAACCACTTTTGATAGCGGACAGTTTCTGTGGGAGCCCAGATCCTTTTGCTGTCCTTAAACCAATATTTTTTCTATGTTGTTATCGTAGCTTTTTGATATCGGCAAAATGTCTCAAATTACCTTCTTTCTCACCGACATATTAGTTTTTAGAGCCAAAATTTAATGTACAATTTTGTATCTAGGCAAAACAGTGCCATGTAGAAGGAAGAGTTTCTAACTTTCTTTAATACTGGACCATCAGCAAACGAAAATTGCAAAAGGGACGTAAGAAGCGAAAACCTTTACTGCTCTTCCAAAAATTGAATAAATTAAATTTTGCGTAGGAACTGTTCGCGCTTTTTTTAAGAAAGGAGTGAATACTAACATCATATATATAGAAGTCTTAATATAAAAGCTATTGACCCATTTATAAGGTATTATATATAAATAAATAGCGATTCATTGGGTTTTCACGATCACACAAAAGTCCAAATCTTTCATTGGAAGACATTAAGAAATCTATCAGTCAACATCCATTATTGCTGTTATCAAGTGTGCAGTGCATTCGATAGGAAAATCCCTGTCGTTTGTAATTGGTTCATATGATAACAGCTAGATATTACCAATTTTGTTCAGGTAAGCGTTCTAAGCTCACACATTTTCTCATTTTTTGTGAATTGAGCCACGAAATATTAAACACAAAGGACTGAACGTTTTAGGGATTCCAGTATAGAAGCACGTACATCTACAAAATAAAAAACAATCTGCATACGCGCACCGTTTAGTGCTACGATTACTACAATTTATATTTATTACAGTAAATTCAAGACATATTTACAATTCGGTTCATTCCCATCGCGTGCTAGTCTAATCATGATCTATTACTTGGTATTTATGTATAGATATCAAAGCGAATTACAGTATTAGCGATTCTATAATGATTCAACCCACGATGCCACCGTAATGAATGCACATTTATGCTTCACCTTTTAACATACATTCAGCGTTACCATTATTTGTTCAGCTCAAGAGATTAGTATATACATACAAGAAGGAAATATGGTTAACCCCTGGCTACAATTGAATGGAGAGGCATTATATTGTTAACACTACTCAGGCATTACTAGCCAGCGAATATTGCTTGGATCGCTTGTGACAAATGTCACACTAGTGACTTCCACAGGTGAATGTCTTGAAGCAGCGTATTTCTCTTATGGTACAAGTTCGTAATACGGAGTCGATGTCCTGAGCCGAAAGCTGCTGAACGCTGGGTATAGACTATCTCGAAACGACGTTTTGGTGACTCTGTTAGTTAAATGTGCGTTTGTCGTTGGTGGCTGATCGGCAGCCTAACTTTTGTCAAATCGTTGTGTGATTTTTATTAGCAGTTTTAGGTTCATTAGTCCACATATTTACATCCCTCTACCGCGATGCCCTCCGGGAGCTCCTCGATGGTGACCGCCTCGAGGCCCACCCCTTCCGCGGAAATTGCCTCGGCCGCGTCCACCCCGGCCTCCACCACCCTGGCCAGACTGAAGGTCCTCTTTGACCATGTCGATGACTTCGTCGGGAATTCGAAGGAATCTGATAGTGTTGCCCCGAATATAGCATTCGGGTAAACGCCAGAATTTATCACCATCCTACGAACAGAAAGAAACTGGGTTGAATACAATGTATGAACTCCCAGCTGCCACTGTCGTCGTTCGGGTTCATGTCGCTGATGCAATAGTAAGTTGCCGTGAAGAATTGCATACGAAATATTTATTGAGTGTATCTTTATTGTAGTATTCATTGGGAGCGAAAAAAACTTGATATATCTTCATCTATACCAAAGCTTATCTATGTAAAGTATATTCAATTGTCATTATCTCATTTCATTACTTAACTTACAAGTTGTATACCATACACTAGTAATACCAGATGCAAATAGTGTAGTATTTTAAAAACAAATTACTAGATGCTATTTACAAACAATTTTATGTAAATTTGTCATTTCTGCCATCAAAAATATATAGATGCACATTTATCTGCAATAACTCACCCTTGATGTACAGATGACTTCACGCAAGTTAATATTCATCCAATTGTCACAACTGACAAGATGCCCATTGTACGTCTCACCGTTTTTCAATTCCACCAGCTGTCGGTGATGAAATGATAAATTGAAAATTTTGATGAAATTGAAATCTGATTAAAAAAAAAGAATCGAATTTGCTATACCGCATACATAGCATACACTACGGACGTGAACACATACTTTAAATTAAACAAAACATAGATGTGTGGGGGTAAATAACGACATATGTTAAGCGATATGAAAATCTAAGTTAAGACAATTTCGAAATGTTTTTTATTTCATTACTTGATAGTGCCGTGAACTCCTCGGCACTGCTGCGCATATTCACACGACAAATGAGCCACACTTAGCACCGCTATTTGAAATAATTACCTTGCGCGTCAGATTCACATTGGATTTCACGGTTTTTCCCCCAATAAAAATTAGGATGCAACAACTAATATTACCCTCATAACACTCGCAGAAGAGCCTATTTCTCAAATCAATTGCTCTAAATATTTTTTTCTTTTCAAAAATTAGCGTCTTTATAGCAGATTATGAGATTATTATTAGACATTTGTTAGAACGCAGATCATAATAACTAAAAAAATCGCTTAAGGACACCTTATGAAGCACATGAATTAGATTACACGATGAAAGTATTAAACAGCCTACTTACCATAGGATGGTTTTGGGCAGTTTTAAGCAAAGACAATGGCAGCTGAAATTAATATATTTATAGTTATGAATCAACTAGTTAGGCTCCTGACTTGAAAAAAACCTGTTTGATTGTTCAATGCGTATTAAAATTACGTATTTACGAAACGGTGACAAAATATATGTTATTGTTTTGATTGTACAATAGGGTAAAAAATATCAGTTGTCTTACCATTTCTATTCACTGAAAGTTTGCCGGCCGAATATATCGAATAAAACTTAGAAACGACTCTTTGATACCGAATTTATTTTGTTGAATTCTTGATTGTTTACACTAACTTATTTACAGCGATGCGGCTGGCAACAAATCCACTTAGTGTTGGCGGCAATTTTCGCAGAAAAAGCCTGATATGTTCTCTGTCTCTTGAAGTCCACCACTTTGCGTATAATAACGTCGAAAGATGTATTATCACACGACAGATGTGCTAGATACAATAATCACCATATAGTCGCCATCGTCCCATAATATGGTCAATTAATAAAATCGACGCGTCCTGCAAGTACGTTGGTTTTTACCAGCTGATAGCTAAATAAACACGCAGACTACACTGATCACTTTCAGTGCCGTGAGAGAGGGAGAGAGGAGTGTGAAGAGACAGCGAAAGGAGATATAGGGAGATAGAGAGAGGGCGTGTTAGTGTCTGTGTGTGTGTGCGTATGTGTGTGAGCGTGTGAAAGAGAAGGCGCAGCATACCTGAGGTGGTAAACGAAATAGAAATCGAAAAAGACTGAAGTGAGTGGAAAATGTGGCTGAATTGCGGGAATTGTCTGGCTATATTGATAGACCAATGTAGAACTATCAGACAGTAAAATAATTACGCCTTCCATCCCCACACAGTAAAAATAAGCAAAATATAAAACATAAATAGACTCTTATTTAATGTGAGTCAAGTGAGTGTGTGTTAGTGGGTCTGTGGTTATATGGTGTTCCCAGTGCCAGCAGATCAGCTGAGTGTTAGCACCAAAGACGGAGCGCGTCCATCTTTTGGACTGACTCTACAAACAGTGAGTATACATGCGACCAGGACAATTTTTTGCTGTTGTTGCTGTTAAATGATTTTTATTTAGCAAATCCAATTAGCTTATGGGTATGCTTACGTGGAACTTGGTACACCATAAGATGGTTACTAGTAATTTGGTATCAATTGACGTTTAGAGCTTATGACCGCTATTAGAGACAGGAGGAAGTTGCTGGTCGTGGCACGGTTATTGCAAGGTTAAGATTCGACATGTATTTTAAGTAGCCAATGGCACTAGTGCTATCCGCATTCGCTAACTACACCCTGTGGACAGTTTAGGTAAATTATAGATCGGGCTAGTCAAGCTATGAAATGTAACAGTGTTTACGAAATGACAAAAGGGTAGTGCGCAACAGCGCGGAATTGCGCGCACTGCCCAATTATTTTAGTTTAGGTTATTCTGATGCTAGATTTACTTCAATTAGAAGCTTCATCAGGGAATCCCATATTCACTTCGAAAACACGAAGCTCTAACTTGGTCAAGAATTAAACTGCCAAGCAGTGGACCATTGTCTACATTTGCCTGGCCAGCATTTAAACAGATGCTTAAAATTTTCTAAATCTGAAAGCTAGTATTTTGCGGCTAGTGAGTCAGTTATCCTGTAGTAACTCTCTCTTTCTGCGCAAATCTATGTTCTCTATTTAATAATAGAATGCATAGACAGCGTCTTTGTTTATTCGTTTGGAGGCTAATATTTTTCAAACAGCTGAGGAACTCATAACCAGCGTTGTTTGGGCTAGACGGGACAGAAAGGCATATAAAAAAATTTATTTACTTGATGCGCAGAAATCGTGTAGTATTGCGTAGGGAATATCGCGATGTAAAATCTAGACAAGGTCCATAATAGAACAAAGATTATATTCGCTGTTTTCAAAATCGTCAAATTATCAACTGTATTGTACTATTTATGGTCGGCAATATTTTGCTTCATGAACGATGAAAAACATTTCATAACACCATAACGTATTTTTATGGCATGTGATATTTACGGATGTAAGATGTTGTAATTCAGCACAGTGTTATTGCTGCAATTTTGATTATTATTATTATTACGTAGATAAAATTGTTGGCCATAACTGTTCGTACTTCGGCTATATTATTATTTGTGCTTGTAGCGTTAGTCTTTATATTGTTCACCGAAATTGTCATACACAAAGCGTTAATTTTTGTAAAAGCCAGTTTGTAGGCTTACCCTCAGGAAAGATACCAATGGTTTAGGTGATACTCATGTATTATGATATATGGTTCATTTATAATAGTCGAAAATAGTACCACTGGCCGTCATGCTTCCGCCTATTTAATTGCTACTTTTTGAAAACAATTCAAACAAATTCAAACAAGTCTTGAATCAAAGACGCACCGAAAGTAGTTGGTCGGCTCAGATGCTAAACAGCATTGCAGAAATGGTTAGAAGATTTGAATTTCAACTCGTTCCAAGCTCAACCCAAGCAATTTTTCAATAACTTCGTTTTCCTTTGTTGATATCGATGTAGATAATGTTGCCCTTTGGAGGCAATGAAGCTGGTTGCAGAAGTTTGGGCGGTATGAGCAACTGTGAATGCTTTCGTTTGAGGCCTTCCCCTGCCCACGATGCAAAATGGCGCCGGGCCGACCTTCAAGACACATTTCGGGAACCACTAGCCACCAGACTTTGGTTCCATCTCCTGGCAGATTGTGAGCTTGAGACCTGTTGGAACGCTGTTGACCCGCCACAAGCTGACGGTGATATCGGGAAGGATGGTACGTATTACACGACGTTAGCAAAACATGATTGGAGTAGCAATTGCTATGAAATATCTATGCATTTAATTCATATTAGTTTAGAGTTTATTTAATTTAATTCGTATTAGTTTTAGGTAGAGACCTAACACAGTGCGAACATTCTAAAAAAACAACATCTCGGAATCGTCCAGTGAGTCGCCCATAACGATATCATGTACGTACTTAATTTTTCTTACAGTAGCTTACCTGTTGTTTTGTCTTTGCTTTTAATACAGGTTTTCGTCTTCTTGTTGCTTGTTGTTATAGTTGATCGGCTTATTAAGAAAGCACTGATATTTTAAGGCTAGCTATCAAGAAAGCTGTTTTGTCCCTGCCGTTTACCTTAAAAGAGGATGTTTTTGTCAAGAAACATTATACTTTAGGGTGAATGAAAAAGAAAGCATCATTGTTTGTTATTTTATTGATGTGAATATTTCAGACGGAGCATCGGGCGGTCGGTGGAGTTCAAGTGGAATGTGCAAAAAATGCTTTCCCCTGCCATCCGCAAAAGTGGGCTCAAGCCCAACATCAGCCCAGATTTTGGAAAACTGGACATGGGCAGATCCACCAGGTGTGTTAAATAAATTTCCTTTTTAGTCTGTTTGATTTCCTCGTTTGCTACTGGTAGGAGGTGCCACAAAACCGATGCATTATGCAGGCCTAGAAATCACAGCTAACAATGTGTTTTGATGTACTCGTACATCTTTTTCAAGCTACGACAAACGAAACGCAAAAAAATGAAGATTCATTATAACAGAGAGCAACTTTTAAATGTGTGGTGAATCGAATGATAGCTAATCACCCCTTTATACATCGTTATTATGTTTGCTACTTTAAGCTTGCATCATAATATGCCTACTTTTCTCTTACTCAGGCAGGGCGAATATTCTACGATATTTTGAAGAGTTATCGCGCGAGGATCACTGGACGGCGTGTGAATCTGCTCGCACTACGCTCTGGTCGCGAAGACTACGACAACAACTTTTATTGGCCGAACGCTTTTTCACGGCTCAAGGAACTCTTGCTGTTAGTGATACCCATTTTGGGTTCTCCGTCAAAGCGCCCACCCGGACCGGAACTGCGCCCCCTGCATCGATACCGAAGCAGCCGTACGTGCCGCAGTTCAACAGTCATAATTAATTTTTGGGCTTGAAATAATAGTTACATTAATTTATGTTTATGTTATACTACTTCTAAGTTAATATACACATAATGGAGTACATTATAAACCTGCATCTGACGTAAGTCAGATTCGTGCTTTGACATACGTTTCGTGTAGGTAAGTAGTTACAAACATATTCCAGGGTGTGGATTTTCCGCTATTTAGTCGCGGGTTTTTTTGTTGATCTTTGCAGATCAACTGAAAACCAACCGGCAGGACCATCGGGTGCTGTGGGCGGTATGCAAACGACTGCACCGGACTTGACGCCTACAGAGGCGCTTGCTCGACTGGGGTCTAAAGCGGCCTTAGGTTTTGCGTTTGCGTTTTTAAAACGCGCTTGGCGTTGCGGAGAAGATGGTGATCTTTGCGCAGACCTACTGAGGGATGCCCTTCACGCTTTGCGGGTTCTTCCTGCGGGAACTCTATTTCGACATGACAATTCCGTGTGGTTGGAAGTCATTGCTATGAGCCACAAATTCCTTCGGAGCGTCATTCTTGAGTACGTAGATCAGTGCGAACCTTACGATCATATAGCATAGATATTTAGCATAGAAACAAAAACTAAACTAGAATTTAGAAAACAATCTATTTTAAATATCTATTAGCAAATAATACCCCAATCTATCTGTGGTAACTATTCACAGGAATGTTTTTGCACTATTTCATGTAGCGAACTGAACATGACGGTGCCCGAGGGAGATCGGCAGCTGGCGCTTCGACTCCTGTTTGAGTTGGTCCTACAACAAGCAGGATTGCAACAAGTGTTATCGGCTGTACAGCTATTGTGGACTTTATGGGGTCGCGCTGACAACAGACAGCCAGGACAAATGTGCGCCTCTCTTCTTTCTGTCCTACAACGCTTTCAACAAATCGCCTCTGCAAGCCAGGTAAGGTACACGTGCATGAGAAGGGTATCCAAATGTGTTTGTCAATAGTCTGCTCGTTCGAAGCGTGTTTTCCTTCAAAGAGATTTCAAGAGAGAAGTTCAAAGCTACCTGGGCTCTTTTGCAGCTTGAATTTAAACAAGATTTGGCAATCTAAATTTTCGCAACTAGCTAACGGCTAGCTAGAAAGAAACGATAATCGCAACATACTGAAATTCGTGTATGCTTAACCTAAAGGTTTAGTCAACTGGTAAAGTAAAACTTACACTGTTTCAATTCCCATGTTTCTAACTAGTTTTCTGTGTTTCCCAATTCTTGTTATTGTTTAAACGATCATTATAGTTGCTTATGCCTAACATTTGACTGAATATTTACTGGATATTCCAGTGGCCTACAGATGATGATGGCTGGTTATCAATAAATCCCAACCGTGCCCTCCTGGACTTTCTACAACTCCCGAGTGCCGAATCAGAAGCAGAGTGTGAACAGCTACCCGTTGACCTTAAGCAGTGCGCAATGCTGATCATGGCTTTGCTGGACAAGATGGCAGCACCTCATCTACCCAGAGCTTCAAAACGAACCTTCTGCGTACCGGATACGGTAAGAAATAATATTCTATGTTTCTCTGCAGTTTGTGATAATATCTTTCAAAATTTATTTACTAAGTTATTTTTTCAATGTTTTGAATCTCTTCGTAATTAAGGAACGGGATGGTGTTTCGTGTCAGGAAGTCTTCTATTGGGGCAATGAGCGTCTCTGTAGCGGAATGGCAAAGACCCTCACTCCAACTCGTCTTGACGATCTTCATCTGACAATCAAGACGGTTGTTTTTTATGAGGCGTACCTGCTCATACTAGCCAAAGATGGACGCATCTACCGACAGGACTATGATGCATTGTTTCTTGTAAGTTGAGTCGATATCGTTTTGCACTTATGTTGAGTAAGCTCATACGCTTACGATAAAAAAAATGACCCAAATGGCTGGGTGTAAAATGCATCCGGCGCACTTGCCCATATACATGCATTTTTTTGCAAGCGTTTTAAAAATTCATTCGGTTTTTATGCATCTGAGTAATAACTTATTTAATAGTTGTCGTTTATGTGTATTAGTTACGCACACAGCATACATTTAATCGAATCGACCTCGTACTAATAATAGTTCTAAATTAGGGTCAAGATCTTATTGACAATCTGCCTATCTGCTTCTGGACTATAATTTCAGTATCCGTGTCAATTGGTAAATATCAAGGAAAAAATGTCTCAGTTAGCTATTACTATAAGCGAGATCTTTGCCGTGTCGGAGGAAGGCAAACTCTACAAGTGGTCCCTTAGCGACGCAAGGTTGGTCCGACTATTCCTTAGACCGCTGTATCATTGAAACTCGAGTAATAACAACTACCCAAGCCCAACAAAGACACCGTCTTAAAAATTCCCGACTCTCACATTAGTCTAGACGGATTCTATGTATTCAATATTTGATACTTACCTTTAGCGGAGTTTCAGCTGTTTCACTCTAGAAGAACCAAAAGGACCGTTGTTCGCGCTGCTCCTTCTAAACATATGTTAAAAGATTAATCATGTTTTTCTGCTGCACCCACCTTCACAGGGACGTTCGAGTGGTGGGCGTTCTTCCTGATATGGTGGAATCGATAAGCGCCTTTGGAGAAAACGTACTAGTTCTTTGTGGACCCGGAAACGGAGCGAAGACAACGCCTGGGTCGGCTCCTGGAGGAGTGCAAAGATTATTCGTACTTAAAACACTTGAAGATATCTCAACCGAAGTACGCTGCCCCGATTCCCTTGGCACGACGGTTAGACTAAGCAAGGTTGTTATTGGCAATGGGGTTAACCTCGCCCTCACGCAACATGGTAAGGAACATTGTTTGCGGTAAATACAGAAAAGTCTCGTGAATGCAGTAATACCATCAGCGCTTACCGCTCTAGCAGATTAGGTTCTGATCTCTTAAGGTAGGTAAACTATATTTGTCCAGCTAATTTTTTTTCTGACTTTGGATTATTTTACCAAGTTTTTGTAATTATTCTAAACTCATACCTAAATTTTATCGTTAAACTTATAGATCTTTTGAAGTCTACGCATAGTCAGATTCGGTTCGAAAGTTTGACTAATGGCTAAATCTTTGTATCTCTTTTTTTGGGTCGACATAGGAGGATTGTACATGTGGGGCACGGATCAACCATTTCCCGAATTGAGCTGCTTACACAAATGTGTCGCCGACGTTTTTTCCGGCCACGGTAAATGCATAGCATTGCATAAGGATGGCTCTTTGTACATGTGGACAAGTTCATGCCACTCGCCAGTGCATCTCGAAGGTCTGTTAGGCGGTGTGAAAGCAATTCATGTGGCATTAGGCCCAACTCGGTGTATCTTTGTCGGCGAAGACCTCTCGTACTGGCTTTGGGACTATCTTGAGCCTAAAACCACGGAACTGGACGTCTTAGCTGGGTTGCCGTTTGGAGGAGCTTCTGTTGGCCACGGCTCGGTAAGTCAAAATCATAAAAGTTTTTTTCATATACATTACATAATTTTGTAATTTCAAGGCACATAAACTCTACGCAATTGTTATATACGCTGAAGGATCGTTTAAATATTTATTTGTCAGTAACAACTCTTGACTATGCAACGTACCTGTGAGATCTCACCAAAAATGACGTTCGCCATTTTAACCTATTTTTATTCCTGGCTGGCCCTGTTCTGCACGAGATATCCAGATGAAGTGTAATGCACAGAAACATGTGCCGTCATTTTTGGTAGATGTGACTGTAAATTCAAACCTAACGTATACAACACGGGAAGCATGAGAATTTCTACGTTCTCAAAGGCGAAATCTAAAATCCAAATTATTTCTGTTATTCGTCATCGCTAGACAGACTAGCTTACTTAAAGCAAAAACACAATTTTGAGTTTTTTAATACTTTTATTAACCGTTCACTTCTGCTCTATGCGTTATTGGGATACGTTTATGACTTCTGACCATATCTGTGCGTAAACGTTTTCTTCTGATCACGGTTAAGACCTTTTTAGAAACCGTTATACAGAAATACCAAGAGAAGATATATCGAATAATCACCAACAATACCGTTTTGGTAATTGACCTCTAAGTCCATATACAGTAGACGAAATAATCATTGCTTTTATTATATTATTCAGGGTCGCAGCACTTTACCACGTCTTTAATAGCTGTATTTGTGTGGTTCTGTTTGTACTCGCTCGTAACAATGTAATTCACAAATAAAATTCTGGGGCAGCCTTACACCTGCCTGGAACTTTGTCCAGCATAGCATCAGTTCATACTTATGATATAATACCAAAACACAGGGTGCTTCCAGTTCATCAAACTGCAAGCGTACAGTGGATTTTTTAATGGCTTATGATAGTCATTACTGCGAAAATATCAGTATTGACATTACGAGATCAATATTTTTGTTTTTCTATTTCTTAGGGTAATTGTCTTTTTATTGGTCATCGATTAACTAGTGGCGCTCAGCGGAGAAGCAGACGGGGACTATAGTTCTGACTATGGCAGTTCAGTGCACCTCTATGCTTACTGTTGGCTGAAAATTTCGATGGTCCCACAAACATGGGCTTCTTAAAGCCTTGTCTTGTTCAGACTATTACATGTTGATTGGGTCCGAAGAATACAAATCATGTGTGAGATAAGATACGTACATGCAAGCATCGGCCACTCCGTTGTAATTTTCTTCGCCGCTTCCCTTGGTCAGTAGTTGTAATCGCGTTTTCACCACATCCATGGGGTTTACGGCACAAGCGGCAGTTGATCCAGCTATGCAGCCAGACAAAAAGCTTGCCCAAAACACCGTTGTTCCGTCCTCACGTTTTGGTCCGAGCGAGTTAAGGTTGGCGAATAGCGGAAAGTAGATCATCGAAAATGTTACATCACGAAGTATTGTCGCTCCTGTGCCTTTGTACAAGCCCACAATACCCTCGCGTTTAATTAAGTCCATAGCGATTGTTGTTGCCGATAACTTCAGTACCCCGCTGCTTGACTTCGCTAGATAAAATTAGACGATAAAAATCAGAATTAGTATAACGCAACAATCCAAGAACGGAAAGCGTTAAGTTATACAGATATGAACAGATTGGCTTTGTTATTGTGAAAAACAGCGTGGACAACGTTGTGTGCGCCACCAAAAACTTCATTCCCACAACCGGTCTTTTCTTTATTCTTTATAGGCATTAGCCTTACTAGGGTTTATCCTCACTTTCAGCAGCACATTACCCTAGCTTATTTGTTATCCGCTGAAGCAGTCAGCTGAGTGAACAACCGGCCATTGTCGCACTTGCTCAAAAACCTTGCTGTACTAATGTGAGAAAATAAGCCAGAATATAATGCAAAGCAATGTTTAGAGCCATGAAAGACAGCTAAATCGTTCAAATGTCCAGTATTCCATCAAAGGTGCAAGTAATAGAGCTCCAAGAGAATTGTAAAGTGCGTCAGTCTGTTTTCCCTCGCCTAAAACCATTTTTCACACGCTTCTGTAAAAAAGACGATTGTTGTTTGCCACTTACCAACTCTTCCGGCGTCCTGCAGCTGAATTTTAAGCAATTCCATAGGGGTTGTAACAACGATCTGACAGAATCCAGCTCCACCACCCGCAAGCATTTCATTTGCTAACGATAATTTTCTACAATCATGTGACGCACAGACAGCAAAAGTGAACCGCGAGCATAAATTAGTTCGGTATATTTGCATGAGTGATAATCTTCGCGACCTATCGACAGATGCCAATCTGCGACTTGTGTCTTATTATTCATGATCTGTCTTTTTAACATACATCAAATAGCTGCATTAAATAACATGTACTTTCTAATCTCGAACGGACCCCTTTTGTTTCGAATTTATCGAAGATAAACGATGGACAATTGAATAGAGCAACCCATTCCGCGGGAAGTTATTCTCTCTGTTGGGCTTTCGAAGAAACCAATGAAGATGATGAAGCGGGGTAAACTTCTCAGCCAACCAGCTATTGACGGCAGAGCCCAAAACTCACCCGACTCGCGCGTCAGTTAGATAGTGTCGGAAGAAGTCGTTGGCTGTAAGCTTGATTGCCTTCTCCGGTGTGATGAGCAGAATGTTGACCGCTGAACCTCGATACATGCCGAAATAACCTTCGCGTGCGTACGTCTTACGGAAACAGTCTAACATAGACTTGTATTGTGCCTCGCCCTTTGGCCCAATCTAAACAAAGGCATTTTGGTTGCAAGAAACAAAGCCATATGCGTGCGTGCAGTAAGCATTGAAATTTAAGTATTTACTGTTAATTTCTATGGAAGGAGCTTGGACATCTGACTGCCCTTATCGGAGCAGTTTGAATCGAAAAATTTGAGAAAATATTTTACTATTGAGTAGGAAAATCGGCTTTTTGAATTAATTGACTACTTAATAATACAATTACACGGTTAGAAATGTGTATAGATTCGTATAGTATTTAATCTCTTCCCACTGCAACGTTCATCTCCAATACGTACACCGTGGAAGAAAATGCCATTTAGTGAAAGTAACGCTATGAGCTGATTATTATTTTCGACGTATTGTACAATGGATCAGTATCAATTCACTCGGAGCCACGGCTTTAATTAATTAATTAAAACAACAGGAGTCTATCGTCCATGCGTTCGACCTGAGAGGTATGTCGTTACGCAATCTATATGCTGAAAGCCGCAGATGTTAGTAACTAGGGTATGATCTCGTATTTGGAACGATTCGAAAGGATAATGTAAATGGCTTAGGGTTGAGTTAAATCACCAAGAAGTCGTGTGTGTTGTTCGCTATCGATAGAATGCCTGTTTGGTCTCTGTTCTTTGCATTTATTTTTTGCATAACAGAAGCAGTACATATAATTGTACATATATAATAAAATACGCAACCTTGATCTTTTTCGATACGTTTTTTAGTGTCAATAAAACCGACGAAGTGACTCTCTTTTCATTGCACCCGGCAGTATAAAGGAATTGAGTCCAAATGTAGATTCACGCCTACGTGTATTAATGTTAGTTGTTTTTGAAAGATTGAGCGATGGACGAAAGGCCCGAGAAAACGTTCAAAAACTAAGGTGTCCTAATTTAAATCCTAGAACCTTGAATTATATTATTGTAATTCGCAGCATCCATATACTACTTTTCATAAATGCTTCGATACTCAAAATATAATGATGACAATTGTCGTTCGAAACACACGTCAAACGCTGTTACAAAGCTAATGAGCACCCCTGTTACAATCAGGAGGACATCTTCTCCTGCGATAGCTGACAGGTAAAAAGGAATCAACGAATACACACACACAGACATACACACACACACACACACACACACACACACACACACACACACACACACACACACACACACACACACACACACACACACACACACACACACACACACACACACACACACACACACACACACACACACACACACACACACACACACACACACACACACACACACACACACACACACACACACACACACACACACACACACACACACACACACACACACACACACACACACACACACACACAAACACACACACAGAGACACACACACACACAGAGACACACTCTGTGT